TCTTTATTTTCGTTGTAATTCCAGTTTGGTCCTGGGAGATGGTCTGTGTAGCTTCCATTCATTCACTCTGCCGCCATTTTCCTTCCCTTGCCTATTTTTTAAATCTTTTAGCCTTAATGAGATATAATTGACAGGTAAAAATTGTATGTATTTAAGATGTACCAGGTAATGCTTTGATATATGTATACATTTTGACATCATTAACATAGTAAGGTAATTAACATATTCATCACCTCATAGTTACCTTTTTTTGTGTGTGTGTGTAAATGTGAGAATAATTTAGATCTACTCTGTTAGCAAATTTCAAGTCTACAGGACAATTTTGTTGACTATCGTTACCATGGTGTACATTAGGTCTCAAGAATTAGGTCATCCTACATATCTGAAGCCTTGTACCCTTTGACCAATAATTCCTTGTCTTCCCCATCCTGCTGCCCCTGGTAATAACCATTCTACTCTCTGATCCTAAGAGTTCAACTTTTTAAGATTCAACATATGAATGAGAACATGCAGTAATTGTCTTTCAGCACCTGGCTTTATTTCACTTAGTATTGTGTCCTCCAGGTTCATCTGTGTTGTTGACAATGACAAGATTTCTTTTTCTTTTTTTTGGTGCATGCCTCGAGCTCCTAGGGCCTAGTGGGAACTGAACCCAGGACTCTCTGGCCCTCAGGCCGACACTCCAACCACTGAGCCAAACCAGCCAGGGCCAAGATTTCATTTTTTAAGGCTGAATAGTATTCCATTGTATTTCTACATACACCACATTTTTTTTTTTTATCCATTTTTCTGCTGATGAACACTTAGCTGGTTTCACATAAGGTGGAAGGTGATATTTCATTGTGGTTTTAATTTGCATTTTCCTGGTAATTAATGATACTGAGTATTTTTTCATATACCTGTTATCTTCTTTTGAGAAATGTCTATCCAGGTCTTTGTCTGTTTTTTAATTGGGTTATTTGTTTTTATTCTATTGAGTTACTTGAGTTCCTTATATATTTTGGATATTAACTCCTTATCAGATGGTTAGCAAATATTTTCTTTCATTCTATAGGTTGTCACTTTACTCTGTCGATTGTTTTCTTTGCTGTGCAGAAGCTCCTTAGTTTGATGTAGTTCCATTTGTCTATTTTAGCTTTTATTGCCTGTGCTTTTGGGTTTATATACCAAAAAAAAAACCAAAAACATTGCCCAGACCAATATCAAGAAGCTTTCTTCCTCTTTTCTTCTAGCAGCTTTAGTTTCAGGTTTTATGTTTAAGTCTTTAACCCATTTTTAATTGATTTTTGTATATGTGTGAGAGAAGGGTCCAATTTCATTTTTCTACATGTGATTATTGAGTTTTCTCAACACCATTTATTGAAGAGACTGTCTTTTCCCCTTTGTGTGTTCTTTGCGCCTATGTCAAAGATCAGATGAATATAAATGTGTAGATTTATTTCTAAGCTCTCTACTCTGTTCCATTGCTATTACATATCTATTTTTATGCCAGTATTATACTGTTATGATTACTATAGCTTTGTAGTATATTTTGAAGTCAGGCAGTGTGATGTCTCCAGGTCTGTTTTCTTATTTGAGATTGCTTTGGCTACTGTGGATCTTTTGTGATCTCATATGAATTTTAGGATTGATTTTTCCATTTCTATAAAAAAGGCCATTGGAATTTTTGATAGGAATTACATTGAATCTGTAGATCATTTTGGGTAGTATGGACATTTTAACACCTAATTCTAGATAGAAGTCTGTTAAAGAAAGAAATCTTTAAAATTTAAATTCCACACTTGACCACATTGCTTTAGTATAGGAATGTTATTCTAGGGCTTAAAGACATTTTAGTAGGAAGCTAATGAAGTAATATAATCACAGATAAATGACTGAAAAAAATGTACATTTAGACAATACTTTCATGCTATTTTCTGTATGATATGAAGAATATGTTAAAATAGAGTCCCCAAAATTGCTAGAGTATCACTCAAATATTTGTGAAACATGTAAATCTAAAGAAAAAATATTTGTTTATGGCAGATGGTCTTAGAATTATTAAAACTGTTTAGCTAGATGTCCTCATCTCTCTTTAAAGTTATTGCTGAGGTTTATTTGGTGGGAGGTGGTCGGGTGGAATTCCACCACCTTGGGAGAAAAAAAATCAGATTAAATGGTTTGTTTGTGGAAGAAGCCATTAATTTTTCCATTTAACCCTTATCCCTTCATCCCTTCCCCCCCTTTTCCTGTAAGTCCTCTCCCTTCCATTCATCCTCCAAAAAGGAGGTGTGGATATTTTGAAAAGGAAGCTTCTTTCTTACACGCTATGAATTTTGCCTACAATGGGCTAATTGCCAAAGCAGTTGGCCACCTGTGGGAGTAATTAGTCACTTGTCAAACCTTCTGAGGTTAGTCAATTGCAGTTGCAATTTATTATACACACAGTTTTGCATCCACAAATAACTATGGCTGTTAAAACCACCCATAGAGAAAGAAAAGGCTGGGCAGAAATTTTGAAAAGTTGGGATATTGTTTTACATTTATAAATGAAGCTTGGGTAACATTCAGCTATATTCTTTTTATCCCAATCCAGAGAAACTGCAATTTGAAATGCTGAAATAAAAGTATTTTAAAGTTATCCTACTTTGAGGGGTGAGCAGGAGTCAAGGACATGTTACCTTTGTAATTTTACTTGATAAACTAAAAATGAATCTTGACTGGGTATATTAAGATTTTAGTTTTCTGTAGTACAAATGTGTATAATATAAAATGAGCCACTTTATATTTAAAGTAATTATATCAAGAACTGTTTTCTCATGGGTGAACAGCAATGTGGATAGCAGCCATCTTGGTTAACCATTCTATTGTTAATGTGGTATACTGTTTATGATTACATCCATGGAAGGTAGTCTCCATTCTACTAGTTAAATTAAATATATTTATCAATGGCTGCTATTATCAGTCATGCTTCTTGGGAAGCAAAGAGTATATAAAACGTTGAGCAAAAGATAATTCAGGTAATTAGTGTGTGTGTGTGTGTGTGTGTGTGTGTGTGTGTGTGTGTGTTAGGAACAGGCAGGTAAAAACTAGCATGCAAATATATCAGAATTCTCTTGAGTAAAGGAAAAACAACCTCGCCCAAGTTGCCTTAAAAAATGAAGGGTATTTATTAGTTATTGAATAATTTAAAAATATGGTGTGATAAATGTGAGACTTTTTCCCATAGCTTAACACTATCTCCAAGGTCCAGTTTCTTTACATTTTTCTGCTCTGCTTCCTGTAGTGCCTGCTTCCTCCTGGGGCTGGTTCCCACCATGACTCTCAGAGAGGAATCATTTTTCCAAGATATGCTAAGCAAGTATTTCCTTAAGTATCATACGCCCAGACTGAATCATGTGCTCATCCCTAAAGGAATCACTGTAGCTAAGGGGATGGGATGCACTAATTGGCTTAAAGGCCAGTAGCCCACTTCTAGGGACAACCCTGCTTAAACAGTATGGATGGAAAATCTGAGACCAAGGTAGGTAGGGGAAGGGGGAGAGGGATGCTAGCGGCAACAGCTACCCTCCACAACAAATAATAGCAAATTCACATAGCAACTGACACTATTACTGCAGTAGTTATAGGTGCCATCAGTGCTGATACTTCTAGGAAGCTAAAGAATAGAAACATATTAGAAGGGCTTTGTGATTTACCATGTTACTAAAAAGTCGGTGGCCACCAGCATTTATCAGTTAGCTTGTGAAGGCTCTGCTTGATTTTCAGACCATGACTCTAGTTTACCAAGAGAAACAACTCGGAGGCAAATCTGAGGGGAGTATATACATATGAATGTATATACAGTTGATCCTCATTTGCAGATTTAGTATTTGTGAATTTGCCTACTTGCCAAAATTTATTTGTACCCTCAAAATCAAGACTTGTGGCGCTTTCCGTCGCAGACCTGTGAAAATGGTGAAAACTTTCAGTCATGTGAAGTGCAGGCTTCCAGCTGAGGTTGAACGTGATGACACTCTAGCCTTCCTGTTTGGCTCTCACATGGTAAACAGGGATCCCATTCATGGTCTATTCAGTGCCATGAGTTCCCCAATTTTGTGCTTTTTTGGTTGGTGATTTCACTGTTTAACATGGTCCCCAAGCATAGTGCTGAAATACTGTCTAGTGTCCCTAACACAAGAAGGCTGTGATGGGTCATGAGAAAATTCGTGTGTTTGATAAGCTTTATTCAGGCATGCATTATAGTACTGTTGGTTGTGAGGCCAGTGTTAATAAATCCACAGTATGTATCAAATAAGGTGTCTTTAGACAGAAACATGGGTAAAATAAGGTTGCATACCAATCCGTTGTTGAAAAGACTGTGACCAGAGGCTCATAGGAACTTAACTTTGTATTTCCCCTAGGAGCAATGGGTTCCCAACTTGCTAATTCAGTGTTAATGGTGACTTTATAGAGCATAACGTGGGCAAATAATGAGAATTGATGGTGCGTGTATGGCTGCACTTAAACAAATGAAGAAAATATTATCTGGGTCCAATATCCAGGAAGGGACTTAACTATAAAATTCTAGTATGTAAAAGTATAAACAGTTCATTTTTATTCCTGTTAGTTGAAAGAAATGAGTTCAGAGTTTCTAAGTAGTCCATTTGAGGGCCATACCCAATCTATCTGCAAGCTACATTTCTCTTCACCTGGATCCTTCCAACTATATCCTCTCCAGGTGCTCTGAAGTTATAGGCTAGGACTTAGAGGCGTCCACTGAATATTGAAAGTTAAGTAGCATCAGCCTCATAGGATATAATTAAAATAAACACATGGCGAAATGCATAGCCTTGTCACAGACCACATTTTTTACCTTCCTCACCCTAATACCCTAAATGAAATGCAGGAAAACTTTGAGCTGGAACAGGAGACCCTAAGAGTGAGCCCCACCAAGTAAATGGTGATGGGTAGTGTGAGGAGGTGTCTTCTGCATCCGTGGCTCTGCTTGCATCATTCCATTTGACTTTTGTTTTTCTCAGGCTTGGGGCTGTGTTGCCAGCAGCAAGTATGCTGACTGAAAACTGTCACAACAGCGATCATTACAATCCGGGAGTTGAGTTTGACTGGAACATATGTCTTCAATTTTAATAGCTCAGCTTCCCAGATGCCCTAAAGGAGAATATTGCCTGAGAAGGAGCTTTTCATGTAAGAATAATTTGTGTTAAGTAGCTCAGTGATCTGTTTGTTAGGTTAGAGCTGACAGTTTGTTTATATTTCTAAAGGGGTATGATGAATGGGGGAGAAGTTGATGCTAATTAGCCTAAATTGTTCCTAAGAATGTAGAGGGCTTTGCCAGTTTCATTGTTTCTGTTTCTTTGCACATTTTAAATAATTGAATGGAGCTCAGACCATTCATCATAATATCAGGCAAGATGGAAATAAATGAATTTAGCACGGGTCCACATGTGTGATGGAAGATGTCACTTTATGGGGCAATTAGATGAGACATCAACTTGGGGCTATGCAGACTATTCTAATCCATTTGCATAAAAATATCAAACATGAATGTTTTCATATACTCCATTAATTATCTCTGTCATCATAGGAGAATATAGCCCTTCTTTCAGAAAACCCACCTACCTGCTTTAAAGAAGTAATGCTGTGGTATGACATTTTGGCCCTTGGCTTCTGGACAAGATCTGTGGCTATCTTTTCTAAGAAACTGTCTTCCCCTCCCCCCGATGTCATCAAATACCACTAGGAAACCTGCTTGAGGATGGGCTCAGCACCTGGCCAGGTAGATAATAAAAAAAGTGGCAGAGGAACATTTTTGAAAGTTGGGAATCATATAATGATGTGAACTCTTACTGAATTCCACAATAAAAGCAAATGTACCAGTAGGGCATATTTTAGTTATTTCTCGAGTTGTCATGTGTTCATTTCTCAAATATGCTGGGTTACATGGTGATATGAGGAGAAGCCTACAAGGTAACTTCCTATCTGAGTTAAGCCAGCATTTCCTGTAGGTAATAAGGTTAACATGAATGGGTTATTTTATAAGACTATAGAAAAATATATATGTGATATATGCATTGTTAACACACATATTTTGAGAATTAAAATAACAAAAATGAAACTAAATTTAGAAAGTCTATGATATTTTTCAACCTTTTAATCCTCATTGGAGGCCATTCTTTTTTAATTTATGCACATAAAATACCACAGGAAGAGATGGTATAAATTTGTGGACTGTGGAGAATGAGTGAACATTTTTGAATCAGGATCTTTAAAAGGGGTGAAATTTGAGTATGATTAAGTTAGGAAAAAGCCTCGCTCACAGCGGAAGTCAGAGACTCTGTATACATTATGGGCATGTCATGGCTTTTAAAAAGTTATGTTAGACTTCTATACAAATTGTGAAGGAATTTGTATAACCCCAAACAAAATTCTGTGTGGTTCTGAACTTTTCCAAAGTTGAAAAAAAGAGGGAGAGCAATAATACTGGTTAGTATTCTGATCAGAAGCAAGCCTTCCTGTTGGGTGGGCCGGTCACTTTGCACCGCGTGGGAGTTTTCTTGGTCACTAGTTTTCTCAGAAGGAAATGATCCCATGGCTTATGCTAGCCACGTTTATGCATATATGCCCTATAATTGGCATTTATTAAGGAGACCTTCAGTTTGATGGATGACTGTCAGAGCCGAGCCTGCTGGCTTTGAAGAGAGTTGACTTTGCTTGAGTTTTGTTATATTAACTCATTAGAACTCTGCACTACTTCAACCCGCTCTTTGTTTACTTACTTATAATTAAGATTTTTGAACAATCGATTTTCAGAGACTCGGCAGGGGCCCGTTCTCAACTCAGAGACTTTGTCTGACAGAAAGGTATGCGACAGAACATATATTCACAAGAAGAACCCCTGAGTATTAAAATAAGGTTTTTTGTACTCACTCTAGTTAGCTGCCCAGTTTTCATTGATTTTAAACATAAAATGATTTATTAATTTATCTTCACTTTATACCATTAGCTGCATGATTCTTCAACTTTTTAAAAAAGTGAATCCGACAAAAACAACAGCTGCAGAAATATTTTCAAGTTAGAGTGTTTAAAATTAGAGCTTGTAAGTATTATGATATTTTAGCAACAACGTAAGCAAATAATTAGGAGATAATTAGGAATAGGAAAGGCCATCTGAATCTAAAGATACATTTTCAAGAGAAAAATCCTCATGTACATTTAAACATTCAATTCTGAATGACCAATATGTTCCAACTGTGTTTTTAAGTTTATAATATGAAAATCCCCAAAGCCATTGGTGACACATTTAATGTTAAAACTGATATTTCACTTTCACTTTTGAAGCCCCAAAGAAAAAATAACTGAAAATGGGGATCTTTTCCAATATGTGTTGGTGAGACAAATTGTATTTCCTGTTGGGCTCGATGTCACTCTGACAAACTACCTGGAGAGGCATCAAATGATGAGATTGTGTTTGATGTGTGTGTTTTCAAAAATATTTTTAGCTGCTATCTACAAAAACTAAGGACTTGAAAAGAAAGGATGTGCTTTTACAAAGAGCAAACATGGTTGGAGAGTGTTTGCACTGGGATTCCAGACTCACTCATGGTTGTCTCATTTCTGACTTGTTATGACTAGTCGATGACTTGCTTCTCCGAGAGGTCTATTTAACAAAGATGGTAGCTTGATGAGGAAAGGTGTCCATCACATCATCCCAATATCTAGATGAGTGAGGAAGAAAAATAAAGAATGAATGAAGAAGGAAAGATAAATAGCCTCTAGTTGTAGAAATGAATACTGGGCTGGGTCATAACTGATAGGCAGTGCTCTAAGTAATAAGTTCTTAAAGTAATTTTATGGGGAGTGCTTCTGTAGAACAGTACTAAGTCACCTGACTAGCCTGTACAGGGGAAAAGGGAAAATGAAACTCAATTGTTTTCAGGTCACAGATAATTCAACTTTCCTTACTCTCTAAAAGGAACTCAAATTAGCAGAACAATGTTTAGACTTCTTTGCCAATGAAGACAACCTTTTAAGTTTAGTGATGAAGTTGATTCATTTTTATTTCATTCAGATGATGGAAAACATAACTAATTGGCTCCTTATTTGGTTCACGATGCTCAGTTAATGTATTCAAAGTTATTACTAGATTAAAAAAATGAATTCACAGGTCAAAACTTCTTTTATTGTGGAGGAAACTGGCAGTCATCAAAAGGGCCATTAAAAAACAGTTTAATGAAGAAATATGTGACTGTTTAAGAAAAGCGTCTAGTCTAAACTTAGCAGGAGGGCCATGGATCCTTTTTTTTTTCCTACCAGGCTGCAACAGTATAAGAAAATAATCTCGCATCTTTTAGGCTTCTGCATAAATTTTCACTTCAGAAAGTCATTACTTTAGTTGCACAAATAAAATATAATTACATATGGAAAGCCTGAAGCTAAAATCAAGTCCTCCTACTAATTTTATATGAAAATGTGTGAAATTGTATCTTTTTATTTTTAATTGATGTATTAGTGGTAACTAAGACTTTAATTTTAAATGTCTTTTTCCTTTCAACCAATAAACAATGGCTAGCACTTACTGATAGTGTCCTATGTAACAAGCACTATTTTAAGTATTCCACATGAATTAATTTATTTAATCATCACAACTCCTTGAAGTTGGTGTCATTATTATCTTCCCCTTAAAGGTCATAATACTGAGGTATAGAAAGGATAAGTTAGTTGGTCCACATGACACAGTCAGTAAATTGTAGATTGGGGATTTGAACACAGGCACTCTAACTTCAGATTCAAGCCTCTTAATCATTCTGTAATGCAGTCTTTACTTAGGTTGAGTAGCTGAGGATCTATACAGAAACATCTAAATATACCAAGTTTATTATTTAAAAGACATTTTAGAACAGTAATTTAAAGAACAGGAGAAATATTCCTTTCCTAGAAGGAATGTTATGTTAACATAATTATACACATGGTAATATTATTTCTTTTTTAATTTCGTATCCCAGCTCATGACTGACTAAATGGTTATCGGCTAGCAGTGTGATCAAGTTTGTACTATGTGTGGTTGTTGCATTTTGGGATAGACAGGATTTGACCTGTAGCCTACCCAAACAGTTGTAATATTGAACCATTTTATAATGGAGTTCTGCCTTGTTTTAAAAATACAACTATTATTTTGAAAAGGAGATAAAGCAATAACAAAAAAAAGAAAATCTAGACTCCAAGAAGTAGTTTCTATAAAAATTTGTCAAGTTTTCCAAAGTGAGTGTTTTGAAGTCTGTTTAACAAAGTCCAGAAATATATAGGTCCAATAAAGGAGGCTGGTTTTTATCACGAGACTGGAGTAATAAATTCAGGGATAATCTAAGCTGATTAACCTTAAAAATTGTTTTATTTTTGTAACTTTAAGAGAGACATTGCAGAGTTGAGTGGATTACAGTTCATAAACCTCATTGAAGATAATGACTGCAAAGGTATAAAATTCAATACATATTTTTTTATTTCAAAGGTTTGATTGTCCAGATATCTTTGAAGTATCTAGCAGAATATGTTGTCCACACTTCCCTGATGAGAAGGGTGAGAATCAGTGTTTTCAACTCAGTATAAAATAAACAAAAACTGTGCACAAAGATAAAACTGTTTTTATTCTCTTTCTTGTGAAGAAATGTAAGCAGTAGATATAATTTTGAGTGTTTATTTATTCACTAATAATGAATGTGTACTATGCATTGAGGCTACCAGAGTGAGCAAAGCAGACAACCCCTTAATGAACTAACATTCTACTGAAGGAGATAAGAATAAAAGAAAGGAATATTAAATAATCATAAAAGTTATAAAGAAAGTAAAGCCAACTAAGGGGATAGAAAGTGATGTCATTCGGGGACGTGGAGTGGTTTCTATTCTAAATAGAGTGGTTAGGGAATGCTTCTCTGAGATACTGATATGTGAGCATTTACGAAGATACAGTGGCATTTCTAAAATAGTTATCACTTAGGATAAATAATTTTTAACACTTCCCTCCTCTTCAGACAAAATTATTTTTAGTAATAATCATACAATGAAAAGAATGACTAGAAAAAAACTTGGACAATGAAAACAAGTTATTGAATTTCGTATATTATTATGCCAGTAAAAAATTAATTTAAATAAAATAAACATTACAAAAGAGTAATGAGTTAGTACTTTTTAATTACAACATTGTATTTTTTAAAATTTATTTTATAGAAAGAGGGAGGAAGGGAGAGGGAAAGAGATAAACATTGATCTGTTGCCTTCCTTACACAACCCGATGGGAGCGGGGTGTAGAGGCAGTGTTGACTCACAACCTGGGTTTGTGCCCTGATCAAGAATCAAAGCTGCAACTTTTTTGGTGTCCAGGAAGACACTTCAACCAACTGAGCCATACTGGCCAGGTCATACATTATTGTATTTTTTATAAAAGGGGGGAAAATAACATATCTTACATAGTATGCAGTTTGCACTGTGTTTCATTGTTTTAAATCTCTTTTTGGAATGGCTTTATTGAGATACACATTCTATATAATTCGCCTATTTAAATTGCATAATGCAATAGTTTTTAGTATACATATAGAGTTATGCAATTTTAAAACATTTTCATCACCCAAAAAAATAAAACCCACAGTTTTTATTAATCACTCCTTGTTTCCCCAAATCACCACTGCCCTCTTCCCTATAGCCCTAGGAAACCACTTTAGATTTGCTTATTTTGGATATTTCATATAAATAGAAACATAATTATGCTCTCATTCATGACTAGTATCTTTCACTTAGCATCATATATTTAATGTTCATCTGTATTGTGGCATATATCAGTACTTCATTCTTTTTATTGCTGAATACTATTCAATTGTATGGATATACCACATTTTATTTATCTATTCATCAGTTGGTAGATATTTGGGTTGTTTCCACAGTTTTGATATTATGAATACTTAAATCTATTATGAATATTAATGTACAAGATTTTATGTTTGTATTTTTTTTATCCTCACCCGAGGACATTTTTTCTTTTTTTTGTTCAGGTAGAGTGGGAGGGAGAGAGAGGAACAGAGAGAGAGAGAGAAACATCGACGTGAAGGGACACATCGAGTGGCTGCCACCCGCACAACCGACCAGGGCCGGGGACAAACTGCAACCAAGGTACATGTCCTTAGCGGGAACCGAACCCGGGTCTCTCCGGACCGCAGGCCGACGCTCTAACCGCTGAGCCAAACCGGCCAGGGCTATGTTTGTATTTTGAAGGGTATACACCTAGAGCAGAATTGCCAGGTCATTTGGCAACTCTATGGGAAACCTTTTGAGGAAATGCCAGAATGTGTTCCAACCTAGATGATAAAACATTTTACCTTCCCACCAGCAATATATGAGGGTTCTAACTTTTTCATATCCTTGTCCACACTTGCAATTATCTGACAGTTTTATTCTATTCATCTTAGTGGGAGTGAAGTGGTAGTTTTTTGTGATTTTGATTTGCATTTCCCTGATGGTTAATGATGTTGAGAATCTTTTAATTTTCTTACTGGTCATTTGAGTATCTTCTTGTCCTATTTTCTATTGCATTGTTTGTCTTTCCATTATTGAGTTGGGATTCTGTATTTATTTTAGAGACAGGTTTCTTACCAGATATATGATTTGCAAATATTTTCTCACATTCTATTGGTTTATTGGTTGTCTTTTCTTTTTTTGATAGTGTGCTGTCAAGGCAAAAGTTTTTAATTATGACAAAGTCCAACTTTTTTTCTTTGTTGTTTGTGCTGTTGGTGTCATATCTAATAAACTATGGCCTAATCCAGGTTTATCAGAATTTACACCTATGTTCCTATATGATTTATTTATATTTATATTTTAATTAACTTTCCATTTTAATTTTTATATATTTCAATTGCACACCGATATGAAAAGATATATGTCTCCCTATGTTCATTGCAGCATTATTGGCTATTTACAATAGCCAAGATATAAACGCAACCTAAATGTACACCTCTGTTCTTTTCTAAAAGTTTTATGGTTTTAGCTCTTGCATTTAGGTCATTGATCCATTTTGAGTTGATTTGAGATGAAGGTCCAACTTTATTCTTTTGCATATGTATATCCAGTTGTTCCCGCACCATGTGTTGAAAAGACTTTTCCCCCCATTGAATTGTTTTGGCACTTTTGTCAAAAATTAATTGAGTGTAAATGTGAACATTTATTTCTGGAGTCTCAATTCTATTTCGGTGACATATATGACAGTCCTAATGCCAGTACCACATTGTCATGATTACTGTAGCTTTGCACTAATTTTTGAAATTGAGAAGTCTGAATTCTCCAACTTTGTGCTTTTTTTTAAAGACTATTTTGGCTATTCTGGCTCTCTTAGATTTTCCCATGTTTTAAATCGTGAATGCAAATAAAAATCCCAAGAAGTGAAATAACATGGCAGAACTGAAGTAATTCAAGTTCTGTTTCTTCATATTTTAATCACCGTGCTACTGCAGTTTATTTCAAATCTATTGTTTAAACTGAGGAATGTGGTAACACAGGGGTTGGAGGCACAAGCTACCCAAAATAAGCTATAACTATTCTAAATCTATTTTAGTAATTTACTTTTGAGATGAATACAAGTATCTATGTCTGTGTTTGTCTGAGGACCACCTATTATACCTGGGATTTCTCCAAATCAACTTCCATGTAGTATACAATGTTTATTGAAGGGAAAGTAACACTATTTTTTAGGAGGAGGGTTAGCAGTATTTTTGTACTAACATATAAAATTGCTGATTGTGTTTTTAATTAGTTTTACTATTGTTATAAAATTCTCTAAATTGCCTGTACTCAGGGTGGACTGTTCCTATCATCCCACCTTTGGGATGCCACTGACAAGGAGCAAATCATTCTGAGATCTAGAGGAAGAGCATCCCAGGAAGAAGGAACAGAAATGTTAAGACCTTTTATTACAAGTGAGTTTGAAAATTTAAGGAACTGAAAAAATAACCATTGTTGTAGTTAGTGCGTAGAAGTGACACGTGAATGGGAAGACCTGAAGTTGGAGAGAGTGGCAGCCAGGGCAAATAATGGCCTATCAGTAGGGCCACCATATGATTGATAGTTTAAACTATGGCACTTTTGAGAGTAAAAAGCTACTGTTAATTACATCAAAGCAACAGGTTTAATGGGACTATTCCAGGAGAAATAGGATGAATAGTTACCCTGCTTAAAGGATATGGCACAGAGTTATATTTTCACTACCCATAAAATCCAACACAAAAGAACAATTGTGATGAGAGCTAAAAATTTTAAATGCAGGTGAGCAATAATGTAATCCAACACCATTAGTAATATGTGAATTAGGGAAGGTGAACAGTATGTATAGTGTAGTGGTTTAGCACAGTGACTCTCTAACTTTAGCATGCATAAGATCACATGGAGGGCTTATCAAAACACATGGCTGGGCCACACTCCCTCAAAACTATTGTTCAGTGGGTTCTGTATTTCTAACAAGCTCCCAGGTGCTGCTGATACTGCCAGCCCATGGAGGACCAGACTTTGAGTAGCACTGATTTAGACTTTAGAAACTTGGTTTGTATTTCAGATTTTGTTTTTGGGTTCTAACTGAGTGGCCTTGGACAAGTTGAATATTTTTCCACATCTCTTTTGTTCACCTTGCAAAATGGGGATTATAATTATTCTTGCCTTATATATGCATTGTGAAGAGTAAACTGTATAAAGCACTTGGTATTATTGTAAGCATTTAGTATATGTGGTGGTTGTTATAGTTAGGAAGAATCGTGGTAGATAATATTCATTATATAAAACTGTGAACATGTTTCAGATACTGCATTGTAAATCAACTCTAGAAGTATAGGCCCTAGAACAGTGTTTCAGTGGCTGGCACGTGGTGGGCTCTTAATACTTGTTGACTGAATAAGCAAATTTAGAATTCACGTAATGATACTTTGTGGACGGAAAGAATTGATTCCCATTCTACTATACCTTTTACTCTCAGAATATACAAACCATTAATAAAATGAAAAGACAACCCATTGAATGGGAGAACATATTCGCCATTGATACATCTGATAAGGGACTAATATCTAAAATTTATAAGGAACTTATAAAACTCAACACCAAAAAAAAATCTGATTAAAAAATGGGCAAAGGATCTGAATATACACTTCTCCGAGGAGGACATACAGATGGCCAGTAGACATATGAGAAGATGATTATCAGAGAGATGCAAATTAAAACCACAATGAGATATCACCTCACACATGTCAGAATGGCTATCATCGATAAATCAACAAACAACAAATGTTGGTGAGGATGTGGAGAAAAGGGAACTGTGGTGCCCCATTGGTGGGAATGCAGATTGTTGAAGTCACTGTGGAAAGCAGGATGGAGTTACCTCAAAAAATTAAGAATGGAACTGCCTTATGAGTAGATGAGTGGATAAAAGAGCTGTGGTACACAGTGGAATACCACAAGGCCATAAAAAAGAAGGACATCTTACCTTTGCGACAGCATGGAGGGACCTGGAGAGTATTATGCTAAGTGAAATTAGGCAGACGGAGGAAGATAAATACCATATGACTTCACTTATATGTGGTATCTAAAGAACAAAATAAATGAACAAACAAAATTGAAACAGATTCATAGATACAGAGAAAAGACTGCTGATTGCCAGAGGGGCAGGGAGTTGGGGGCCTGGGTGAAAAAGGTGAAAGGATTAAGCAAAACCCCCAACAAAACAAAACTCATAGATACAGACAACAGTATGGTGATTACAAGAGGAAAAGGGGCATGTGGAGAGGTAGAAGAGGGTAAAGGGGGGATAACTAGTGATGGAAGGAGATTTGACTTGGGGTGGCGAATATGCAATACAGTGTACAAATGATGTATTATAGTATTGTGCACCTGAAACCTATACAATTTTATTAACCAATATTACTCCAATAAACTCAATAAAAAGGAAAATAAAATTTATTTAGGTTGCTGTACTGAATTTTAGCTGTGTTAAACACAAAACTACACAACACCCCTTATTTATTATTATGGAAGAAATACTTAAAGAAACAACAACCCCTAATTTTTATAGAAAAAATAATAGACCAAACTACTATGCGAAGAGAGACCCACAGAATGGGACCTACTAATATTGGATCTGAATGGTTTCTGTTTTGTCCAGCATCTGTGTGATTCCAAGATGGTAAAAGTAGACACCCAAGGGTGACTGGAGCAAGGAAGAAGGAAGAAAACAAACATTTTTTGAATACCTGCAATGGACTAGGTATGCTACCATGTGCCAGGAGATTTACAGGTACTAACTAATTCAGTGTTCACAGTCCTCATGTGAGATGGGTAGGTATCACCACTCCTTTTTTCCCAAAGCTTTAAGAGGACAAAGGGAGAAATAGGTGAAAGCAAGTTTCTAATCCAGCTGTGTCTATAAAGCCCACTCTTTTATTACTACCTTTGGAGAGGGCACTTCGACAGGAATTCCCTCTGGCTTTCCAGCAATGTGGCAGAGTTCCTGCATTTTCATACTTTCCTAACTTTTACTAAAGACAACTTAGGTACTGAAGAGATTTTATTTTATTTTATTTTATTTTTTAAAAATTATTTATTTATTTTTTTTGTTAGAGATATTTCACCTTTTTTACCCCATTAGCACCCCCCTCCCCACCCCACCCCCGCCCCGTCCCCTGCGGTACTGAAGAGATTTTAATGTAGTAAGTTGAATATGATTTTTTGTTTGCTGAGCCTTTATGTTTATCCAGGGATGATCCAATTTATTCCATAATTTCCTATTTTATGCAACACCTCACGTTATTATTTTCAGTGCTGGAAATTGAAGCATCAGTAGTTGAAGTGCAAAATTAAAGAGAACACTGAAAATGTTTTAATTCCTGATTGTTACTATATTTAATCACCCTAAGCAATATAGAGTAACGAAACTCTTAAGCCAATAATTATTTTTGGCTTAATAATGTAGCCCTATATTAGCAGGCCTTAAGCATAAATAAGGCAATGAGAAATTTGTGTTTGACATAATACTTTTGGGAGATAGTGACTATTTGGAGATGGTCCTTTATGACGGACTGCAGTAGGAACTGAACATTATCAGTGGATCTAGTGCTGGTCATGAGGTGAGAACATTGCAGGTGGAGTGTCTTTGGTTTAAATCATGTCTTATGACCCAACTTTGATGCACTTGAGGCATTTTCCACAATGAATACTAACATTGCATCTTCTGTTAGTTACAACTATCTCAAGAGGTTACATCTGATGTTACATCTAATATCAGGAGGAAACAAATCCAAGAGTTAGAGAGAATTAAACTATGTCTTTAAAAAAGCCAAAGCCCTTCTAACTAAACCTACATGTCATTGTAATGCCCATGATTTTTCTTATGTTCTCAAATACATTAGAAAATTCACAAAGGCACGTTACTAGTAACATGATCAGAATTTATGAGTGTCATTGGCAGTAACTATCCTTAGAATTAGATTCAGAGGATGAGTAAAATATTCCTCCAGCTTCATGCCATCTTGAATAACTCCCTACTTTTCTCCAAACTAGATGACAGGATCAAGGACAATACATAGAGGTAGTAAATAACCATTAAATAACTTAGTTTGTTTAGTCTACCTATGACTTTTAGATTAGCTGAAGGCAAATATGTCTCTAAACCTTGCCAAGCTTAGTTGACCTTGTTATTATCCTGTTAACTAGTCACAATTTGGAGCAAGGGATGCCTATAAATTCTGTGAGATGTCTTGATTGTGGGTTATCTCGAATCTTAATTTCTGTCTGAGATGGTTCACACTTCCTCTAGGGCAGTGGCTCTCACCCTTCCTCATGCCACGACCCTTTAATACAATCCTCATGTTGTGGAGACCCCCAACCATAAAATTATTTTTGTTGCTACTTCATAACTGTAATTTTGTTATGAATCACCATTGGAAATGTGTGTTTTCCGATGCTCTTAGGCGACTCCTGTGAAAGGGTCGTTCCACGCCCAAAGGAGTCGCGACCCACAGGTTGAGAACTGCTGCTCCACAGTGAATGAGTCCGTCAGTATACAGCAGATCACATGGCCTATTGTGCTGGTGAAAGGAAAAATAAGTAAATACATTTATTTGTTAAATCAGTATTTATTACATACCAAGTACCGGTGCTTAGTAGTAGCTAATATGACAAACGTGGTCCCCACTCTCATGGAGCTTAGAGTATAGTGAGGAAGACACAGCACACAACTACAACAGTATGTGATGAGTGGTAAGTAGACATTGGGTTGCTTTACTGAGCGAAATAAGCCAGTCAGAGAAAGACAAGTACCACATGACCTCACTTATTTATGGAATATCATGAACAAAATAAGCTGACAATCAAAATAGATCCAAAAACATGGAAGTAGGGAACAGACTGACAATCCTCAGAGGGAAGGGGATTGGGGGTGAGGGTTGGGAAGAGATAAACCAAAGAATTGCTATGCATATATGCAGAACCAGGGGACACAGACAATAGTTTGGGGGGAGCAGTAGGGCAGTGGAAGTGGGAGGAGGGGGTCAATGGGAGAAAAAAGAGAAAGAAAGATATCCTTTAAAAAGTGACATTTGAACTGGGGATAGGCAGAGAGAACAGCATGTTTCAGTTAAAAGTATGGCAGGTTCTAGGGATTAAAAGGTGCTCAGTGTAACGGTAAGGGAAATTAATATTTCAGCAGTTGGGAAGTAGGCACAGGCTAGATAGTAAAAGTCTTTTAAGGTGTTTAGACTTGATTATAGGTTAATGAAGAGTTACTGATGGATTTTAAATGGGGTGTCATGATCAGATTTGTGTTTTATGAGGATCGCCTTAAAAAGGATTACTCCAAGGGCTATGTGGAGGGTAAACGGATTGGATTTGAGGAAGATTAGTGGCAAGGAGACTGACTAGGATGCTGTTTCAGCAAAATTTGTCAGAGATAACGATGACTTAAAGTGACCGTGGAGATGGGAATAAATGGTTATCAAAGTGATATTTGAGAAAGCAGTTTGACAGGATTTGGCCATTAATTGGATGAGACAGAAAGGTCAGAGATCTTTGGATTAATGATTTGGGCTACAGGAGTAGACACTGAAGGCAAAGGAACATAGAGGGGAAGGAGGACATGAATAGCTGGAATAGGGAGAGAGATAGGGAAGGGGGACATGAGTTGACTTCTAAACATGAACATAGAGGGAAAGCTGGAATAGGGAGAGAGATAGGGAAGGAGGACCTGAGTTCACTTCTGCACTGGAAGGCTTATGAGATACCAGATATGCTGTTGTTTACTAGGAAGTTAGATGAGTGGATCCAGAGATAAAAATATGAGGGTGACCAGTACGTGGATGCTAATGGAAGCTCTGCAAATCAGTGCAGTTACCGAGAGTGCATAGAATGAGAAAAACAGAGGACCTGTGACTAAGCCCTCAGAGAAGCATTGACATTTAAAGAATCTTTTTCAAAGTGATGATTTAAAGATAGTCTTAGATGAACACATTTTTTAAATGTTTTTGAGAAAAAGAGGAACGCTTGTGAACCCGACGATTTCTTTTCTCTTTCAGAACTGATTTCCTTTATACTTCCACCCCCAGTGAAGTCATACATGTTGTGTCAGAGTCTCTTCTGTTGTGGTTAAATTGATTTTTGAATTCAGACCATTTTTTAAACACGCAATGGAAAATAAAAGAAAAACAAAGCATCAAATTATCCATGCCTAAAACTTTTGAATTTAGCGCATAATCAAAGCAATCCTAAAAGGTCAGGGCTGCCAATGTTCAGTGATGGCCAAAGAAGGACTTTGCTTTTTTCCCCCTCCTTTTGACTTCTGTCTTCCAATATCTTTTCATTTTAAAAACCCTTTAGAGATATGGATCTCTTTGTATTCTCTCTCCCATCTTGATCTCACAGGTGTGTGGCAGAAACCAAGAATAGTGACTCCCAACTTGCTTTTCAGTGTCTTGCGAAGGACCTTTGGCTAAATGGCAAAGCCCCTCTCCTTTTTTGTGTGGACAAACCCATGTCCACAAACCTTGATCTTTGGTGTGATTGCAGTGGAACTCTTAGCACATGGTGGACCGATTCCTTATCCTGACATATCATCCAGCTTTGTTTCTGTTTTCCCCTCTAGGGAAGATAATGTGGTTTACATTCTTTTAGAAGTCTTGAACACCAAGAATGTTGAGGTCAGCCCAACTGGGGAAGTGAAGGAAAGAATGTCAGCGAGGCCAGTGGTGGAACCTCGGAAGCATGCTTCGTAAAGGCCATTTTCTGCCTGTTTCTCTTTTTTTCCTTTTGTATATAATAGCCCACAAATAGCCCACAGCCTTAAAATCAGCTTCATAAGAAGCCACCAACAAATCTTTAAAGCCTCTCAACAAGGTTTCCAAGAAAGTCCTGAATAAAATTGTTTTTGTATCATGACCAATATATCAGCTTTCTTTTTTTTTTACCCACTCTCTCCTGTGAATGCAAACTTTACTGAAATCTCAAATCAAGAAATGTAACAGAAGAAATGGTTGTATTCCTTTAAGGTAACTCATTTCAAAGGAAATAAATGAATGCTTAGTCAGACAGAAAAAGATCAAAGAATGAGAGACTTGTATGCCCCCTGAAGTCATTGGACATTTGTGTGTTTTATGGCTAGCTCTCACCGAGTATAAAGAAACATCTTTCTTTTAAAATTTTAGAAAACATTTGTAAAATGTCTTTGGATTTAAATCCTTTTGGCTTAAGAAGAAGGAAAGCAAAAGCCCAGTGGAGTCGATGAACACTGATGATGTTTTCCCCAGCAGATTTTAGTATACCCCCGCCCCCCACTTTTGGGGTCAAACACTGGGGATTTACTGAACATTATATTAATACTCTCATTTGTATTTGGGCAAAGCACACTAACATACTTATACATACATACATAAAAGTTTTTTCTTTTTCTTTAGGAAATATTGTTCATATTATCTAGCAAAGACTGTGAATGACGTGTAAATAACCAGTGTTGGAAGGTATGAGAAAGAACAATACATGCATTTGAGTATTTTTATGGAGGAGTCTGCTCCTTATACACCTGGCCTTTCTTTTGAGGCATATTTCCTTGTACTGTGTCCCATGTTTTAAAATTCCTTTGTTATTCATGCCATAGAGATTTTCATGGGTTCATAGATTGTGCCTTGGTGTATAACTTAGTGTGAAGATAGTCAAGTAAAGGAACAAAGAGAAAACAAAGCAATTCGCTTGAAATCCAGAGACCTTTCCAATGCCGAAAAGTAAGTAAAAGCAGATGTTGTAAAGTTTAGAAAAATCAAGACATTATTTTCCTGTTTCCATTGAATTTTTTCTACACACATTATAAATAAGCTTTGAAGTAATACAAAGTCCTCTGTTTATTTTGTTGATAGCATCTTTTGTAAAAAACCTTATCAATGCTTGTTTAAGTTACAGACTAAATGATAGTTCAGTTGGTAAAAGAACTGACTATACCTGCTGGCAAATACAGTGCTGCAATGCTGAATTTACTTACAATGTCTGAGTCACTTAGGTATCTATTTGATTAGAACTTTGGGGTTTAATGTTAAACAGCTCAAATGTGTTATGCTCTAAGAATACAAACATGAAACCTCAATATGTTGATATTCACACACTTCACATTTAATTTTATATTTATGGATGCTTTACTCCGCAATAGGGAGAACCTGCTTTATTAATCTTTAGAATTATTCTGAAGAGGGAGGCCCAGATATTTGAAAATAAGACTATCTGTGCCACACTGTTGCCTTCTCATTCTGTAAAGCAGACTCATATTAAACTTTTAAAACTCTTACAATGTGGTCTCCAGATAGGAAGGCTATTTCAGATGAACTGTCATTCTTCAGATTTGCTTCTAAAACTTAATATCTACCTGAACCCAGGGGAGAGCCCATTGCCAGAGCAAGGTGTTTGCTAGTTTGGGGAAGCTGCAGGACAGGTGCCCATCCTCACTTGCCCCCACTGGCCCTCATCATTTGCAGTGACTGAATGTCTTCCAGCTGTTAGAGAATGTCCCAGGCTCAAAACGGCATCCCTGCTGAGGACATTTCCAGGGTCTAAGCCAATTTTGGAAATGACTGGCTGTTAAACTACGGAACAAGGGAAATCAGTTCATATCAATGACATAAACCATCATCTGTCTGTTATTACATTCATTCAGCTGGGTCACATATGACTCAATAATCAAATTACCACTCTATATATCTTAAATCTGCGTGTTCGTTTGACCACCATGTGAACATGGGAAAACAAAGATAATCTAGGCTGTCTTCTTTTTATTTTGTTTTATTTTTAATGTATCTTTTTTTTTTGCATATGTGAGTAAAATGCTTGTGAAATTTTGAAAATTATGTAATATAGGAAGCTAAAGTCCCCAGTGGCGGCCGCCTTCCATTTCTATCACTTGACATACATATGCTGCTAACAGTTTGGTGTGTATCAATTGCTTCTTAATGATAAATGGAATTTTTTATTTTACTACTGTACCAATGGAATTATAGCCTTTTAAAATTAATTCGAATGAAAAATTAGCTGGAACTATCAAAAAATTTCAAAGGTATATAAAATTTAAGTAGGGAAAAACAAAGCAATCTGTTTTTTCTTTTGTTATTTATGCTTCAGATTCTTTCAAGTAGCATTTGAAACAGCTTACAATAAAAACCAGGACAAAGGAAAACACAGCCAAGAACCACTCAAAGTGTAAAAGAAAGAAAGAGGAAATACTCAAAGAGAGGAAATGTTAAGTCAAGACGTGCTAGTGTTGGAAAGCTATACCATTTGATATAAAACATTGCACAAAGTTTCAAAGTGGTCTTTGCACTTCTTACTGGGACGCAAAAGGCAATCAGTTCATTTGAGAAGAATTTGCATAGGTAACCTTCAACTGCAGTCAAAATGTGACTTTCATAGGATCCATGTAATTAACAATGTTGCTTTCAGGCAGGGACAATGCTTCACACAACTATGTTTCCAGGACCTTGCTATTCAATAGCTCCAAACATGTTTGCTAGAACAATAAATGACTGAAGTAGTGAATGAAGCAGAGAGTATTTATAATGCACATATGTCTAACTATGATTGTTTCTTCTTATTGCCTCATTGTCCATTAAATTCAAGAGCATGATGTTCAGTTTGTTACTGTTTTTTAAACAAATATTACTTGGTGGCACAGTTTTAGATAAATACTGATGTGTGTAAGATAGTTTGTGCCCTTATAGAGCTTATAATCTAGTGGGAGAAATAGATAAGTAAAAAAACCCAGCCCTGGCCAGTTTGGCTCAGCAGCAGTGAGAGCATTGGCCTGAGGACCAGCGAGTCTTGGGTTTGATTCCCAGTCAAGGGCATGTACCTGGGTCATAGGTCCACTCCCCTACCTGGTAGGGATCATGCAGGAGGCAATCAATCAATGTGTCTCTCTCATATCTTCTCTCTTACTTTTCCCCTCCCTCTCTCCCTCTCCCTCTCAACCTCCCTCCCTTCCACTCTATCTAAAAATCAATGGAAAAATATCCTTGGGTGAGGATTAACAAAAATAAAACAAAAAACAACAAAAGAAAAATCCAGCTACACTGCGAGAGGTAATGGATCAGTTCAGGGTGCAGTGAGAACCCACAGGAAGAGTTGCCGATGCAGACCAGGGAAGTGGGAGTGTCGCAGTCCTTTACAGTCCAAGTGGCTTTGCAGGGTTTGTACAGAGTCGAGAGTGTATAGTTTCCTGTGATCCGGCTAAAGCAGGGATAACAACACTTGAATTCTTGAAGAGAGAGTGGTCCTCGACTGTCAGATAGTTCAGACAGGATTTGATAGTCACAGAATGGTCAAAGTCCTTTTAATTATTGAAAATTGGGGTTACTAGCAAGTATCTGTGCAAGTGTCCTTAGCTTTAGACTGAAGAAAAGATCCACACTAAGCATTAGGTAACAGGTGTTAATGTAAAATCTGATGTAGCAATCCGGTCCCAGCAGGAAATGTCCCACTGAAAATACATAATTGAAGAGATTAATGGAAGGACTATTAACAGGTGGGACTGATATAAGGAACCATCAAGGGTCATCGCAGCACCAGGGACTGGCAACAATGGGAAACTGTTACCACCCCAGGCCATGGCTAAAGCAGGAGGAGAAGACTGCCTTATGGGAGCTGGACCCTAACTGGAGGGAAACAATTTGAAGCCATGCCTGGAGAGGATGGAGCTGGGGAAATAAATACTCAACCTTTTTTCTCCTGCTGCCTTTGAATTTTTATAGCTACTTCCAACTCATCAAACGCAACTGGAAACTAGAAGACAAAAGGGAATGCAGTGGACAAAGTCCTTAGAAATTAGCCTCCAGGGAAGAAAGCCATGTTGAAAGATTCAGAAGAGTGGATCTGGAAGGGCAATTGAAGAGTATCTGGCCCAACCGAGGGCCCTGGTTTCTAATTCCATCAGTGGAGAGTGTCCCATTTTCATTCAATAATGGGTGTAACTTGCATGTTATGAAATATAGAAAACATCATTTTCAACCCTAGAAAAGAGCCCCAAGTCATTAGATACAATCTTCTTTGTTGCAGGAAAGCAGTTTTCCTTGTTATTATTTCTGAGGTGTTTTATTGTCACCAGTGCTACAGACACGGTTAAGGACTTATGCATTTGTACTAAGTTGTGTGTACGGAGTAAGTCATTTCTTCTTTCCTTATTTTCTAAAGTAAGATGCTACCTGACTGATCTGGACAGGGATGAACATTATTCCTGGGGAGGTGAGGAGGCCGATTCTAGAGAGGATGAAAGAACTGGATTTCTGGGCATCTTTCTAGAGCTTTCTAGGCATTTCATATTTCAGATGTACAAAGGCTTTATTTATTTGTTCTGTTGATGTGGAAGAAAGGCAGGAGGTTATTTGGATACCACAGATGTATTCCAAGAGTACAGAAGTCTAAAGAAATGATTAACTTCCATGGTCAACCAGGGAATGAGATCACAGGAGGCTGCCCTGGGTTATGCTCCAATGAGACAAGCCAGCAGTTTTTTAACTGATACCAGAACGTGTGGTGGCAGAGCATTTAATTAGGACACTGTATTTCCAGAGCCTACAAGAGCCTTTTGGCTTCAGCAGTGATGCTAGGAAACAGCCTGTGTGGCAGGGGCAGGCTGGACTAGATGAACGTGGGAACCATGGTCAAGGATGACACCTTCTCCAAGGACTAATAGGTCATATAGGTGTATATGGTGTTTATCATTGTTATTATTTTTGGTATTTAACAACAATATGACTGATGGTGACTGTGTTATCTACATATGCATGCGTGGTTGAAAGGGCTACTTTATAAGCAGGGGTTCTTGTAAACCTGCTAGACAGTTAGTTTCCTGATTTCTTGTTTTAAGTGGTACTTCTGGAAACTGCTCTTCTTATGACTCTCTTTTTTATAGGCAACCAGAAGCCTTACCTCAAATAAATCCCTGCTTGTCACCTACTTCTGACTGAATGTGGGAGGCTCCTGACAGTGATGCACTCTCCCCACATTCCCTACCTTGAAGGTACCATTAGAACAGCCTGAGAATCTGTGGAAATCAGACACTAGGTTCCTGGGTAAAGAGTGCTGTCAAAGTTTGAGACTGATCTGGGAAAAATATAAGGAGAATGAAAAGGCAATATTTTACAGCTTTCGAGATATATTTTCTTGAAATCTGGAAGTATTTTATAATTGCTGTAGCCTTACAAATATTAACCGCATTATTCTTCTTTAGCAGCGTATGCAAACTATGGTGCACGTGACGATTGCTGGCATCGTTGAACAGTTAAAAAACTGAACCTTGAAAGGAGGTTTGTATTGGCACAAGAACAGGCATATGGATCAATGGAACAGAATTAGGAGCACAGAAATAAACCCACGCCTTCATGGTCAATTAATATTTGACAAGGGAGGCAAGAACATACAAAGGGGTCAAGATAATCTCTTCAATAAATGGTGTTGGGAAAATTGGACAGATACATGTAAAAAATTGAAACTAGACAACTAACTTACATCATAAACAAGAATAAACTCAAAGTGGATTAAAGACCTAAATGTAAGCCATGAAAAAATTGTAGAAGAAAATATAGGCTGCAAAATCTCGGACATTTCTTATAGCAATATCTTTGCTGATATATCTCCTCAGGTAAGGGAAAGAAATGAAAAAAAATAAAAATAAACAAATAGAACTACATCTAACTAAAAAGCTTTGCACAGCAAAAAAATAAATAAATAAAATGAAAAGGGAACCCACTAAATGGGAGAGCATATTCACCAGTGATACATCTGTTAAGGGGCTAATATCCAAAGTATATAAAGGGCTTATACTACTCAACACCAAGAACATAAACAACCCAATTAAAAAATGGGCAAAGGACCTGAATAGAAATTCTCCAAAGAGGACATACAGATGGCCAATAGATGTATGAAAAAATTATCAATGTCACCAATCATCAGAGAGATCCAAATTAAAACCACAATGTGATATCACCTCACACTTGTCAAAATGGCTGTCATCCATAAATCAATAAACAACAAGTGTTGGCACGGATGTGGAGAAAAGAGAATTTTTGTGCACTATTGGTGGGAATGCAGACTGGTGTAACCACTGTGGAAGACAGTTTGGAGTTACCTCAAAAAGTTAAAAATGGAACTGCCTTTTGACCCAGCGATCTCACTTCTGGGAATATGTCCAAAGAAACCCAAAACACTAATTTGAAAGAATACATGCATCCCTATGTTCACTGCAGCATTATTATAATAGCCAAGATCTGGAAACAGCCCAGGTGCCCATCAATAGATGAGTGGACAAAAAAGCTGTGGTATATTTACATAATGGAATACTATGCAGCTGTAAAAAAGAAGGGACTCTTACCTTTTGTGACAGCATGGATGGTCCTGGAGAGTATTATGCTAAGTGAAATAAGCCAGTCAGAGAAAGACAAATACCACATGATTTTACTCATATGTGGAATAGTGAACAAAATAGAAACAGAGGCATGAATTCATGGACCTGACTGATAGCTGTCAGAGGGGAGGGGTCTTGGGGGAGCTGGATGAAAGAAGACAACAGTGTTGTGAAAGGGGTGTGGTGAGGTAGGTGGAGATGGGCAAAGGCAGTAAAATGGAGACTGAAATGTTTCACTTGAGGTGATGGGTACACAATGCAGTGCACAGATGTTTTGTTGAGTTGCATACTTGAAACCTGTATGGTTTTGTGAACCAATGTCACCCCAATAAATTCAATAAAATAAAATATAAATATCCCTGGCCTGTGTGGCTTAGTGGGTAGAGTGTTGGCCCGTGCACCGAAGGGTTGTGGGTTTGATTTGCAGACAAGGGCACATTCCTGGGTTGCAGGTTCAATCCCTGGTCTCGGTTGGGGTGAGTGTGGGAGGCAATCAATTGATGTCTTTCTCACATCAATATTTCTCTCTCTCTCTCTCTCCCCCCCTCTCCCCCGCCCCTCTCTACCTCCCTCCCTCCCTCCCTTCCTTCCTCCCTTCCACTGTCTCTAAAAAGTCAATGGAAAAAAAATCCTCCGGTAAGGATTAACAATAATGGAAAAAATGAAAAAACAAATAAATAAAAATTAAAAGATAAGGAGATTTTTTTTAAAAAAAGGAAAGAAAGGACGTTTGAAATATAAATCAGGCATTTCTCTATCTGATTGACCAAAAAATATCTTTAGAACTAGACTATAACCCAAGAAAGCTGAAGCCTAGTTAATTACTAGTTAACCTGGTAATAATTTTATAATGATTACCAAAAATATTTTATTAAGGGACATTCAGAAGCTGCATTCTGGCTCAGGGCTTATTCCATTTATAAGGTAGGTCTTTAATGGGTAGGAAATAGGAAAGTCTCTGCATGTGACCCAGGCATTTATCTTCTTTCTTATAGAGACATAGAAATGAAATTGTGTACATGTAGTTTATATTAAAAGGGGAATTGGAATTTGATAACTTCTAAGTGTTTAGCACTGTCTGAGTCTGAAAGAGTGTCTGATGGACCCATGTTGTCTGGTAATGACACTGATGTATTGTATTCTGAGGTAGGATTAATTTAGCGTGTTTTTCACTTTCATCAATACCATGTAAACATCTTTGGTTTGTTTCTATACTTGCCAAGAAACCTTCTAAATTAGCTTTCCAGGGGGTTTATGCCCTTGAACTTCTATTGCATGTTTTATAAGTGGGTAATCACTTTGGAATGTGGCTTAATATGATCACAAATGGACAAATACCCTAATATCTTTCTTCTTTTCCTTTTGTATGGTCACTGTATTTTAGCCTGTCTTGCAAATTTATTTGAAAATTCTGCTTTCAAAAAAACTCTTGCTATTTCAAAGTCTTGTGTGAAGAGGCCTTACCCTGGAAAAACTGATGTGACAGCTTGGCCAGTGAGGAAGGCAGCCCAGGATTAAGAGGAGGTGAACCTGACAAGGGCAACTTGCTTCTCACCTCTACACCCTGTCTTCACTGACAAGCACCATTTCACCCAAAGCCCTTCTTGATTCCGGTGTATGTGGTGATTCCACAAGTATCTTAATCATTTCCAGGCTTGCTTATAAATTACTTTAGAATAAACAGTCTCTCTTTGTACCTCGCTGTGTACCAGGAACATACTGTGTAGTTCTGGTCAGCAACCCTCAATGAAGACATGATTAAAGTGAAAGGATCCAGAGAAAGTTCACTACCATGGGCAAAAGAATAGGCTTCTATATTGATTAATTAGCTTACACTGGTGAATTCATTCATTAAATGTGTTCGAAGTGTAGCATAAAAAGAGAAGGGTTCTATTTACAAAGGAAGAAAGCTAAGAAAGGGGATATGATTAAAATCCATAAAATTATGAAAACGATGCTTTCTTATTTATAATTCTGGCACACTAAAACTCAGGACACTCTCAGAAGCTTAAAAGAGATCTACAATGGGTAGAAACTTGTGGAATGCATTATCCCAGGATGTGGTGCAGATTGGATATACATAGATTTATTAAAAGTTTAGATAAGCTCATGAATAACAGATTGGGGAAACAATCTGTATGTCCACAACTCTTGAAGGAGGTCAGACTTACTTTTCCACCACAAGTCCCTTGGTGTGCCCATCAAAGAATAAATATCATGGCGAATGAGCATTGGCAGGATATATTAGGGTCTGATTAGGCAGGTAAGACAATTGCCAAAATATGGGGAAAAAAGTGGACTCACTGAATTATTTAGGTTCCAAAGACATGTAAATAAAATAACCATGTGTGCATTCTAGGGCACTGGTGGTGGAAAGTTATGAAAGAGTGTACCTTTTACACCAGGAGCATCTGATCTTTGTTATCAGAGAAGCAAACAATAACATGCATATGTTGGACACAGCCAGGATTGAGGTCATGTAACCATCTCTTTCACAGACCACCATGTTGCTTGTGTCAAGCCTTTTTTGTGCAGAGAACCAAGGTTTTGTCTGCAATTAATGCATAATAAATGAGACCCAGCCATATACTATATAAAAAAAGAAACAAAAGTTTCCTTTAAGCTATATCCTTTTAAAATGTTCCTGGAAAAGGGCCTCTATTCTTTTATTTAAAACAACACTGGAAATGTGGTAGAAATATTTTTGTAGTAAATTTTTTTTTTACAAATAAATTTTATTGGCATTCTTTGTTGTCTCTCCCAGTATGAATTAGTTCCTTACATGATTTACTTCTGTTTTCAACGAAGAAGGCTGAAACCGATTTAAATTAAAACAGACTGCATTTCTTTTAGAATGCATGTGGTACTGTTTCTCACCTTCTATCTTCGCTGATGATAATATATGTTTTCTTTCACCAATTTGCTAGCATGTTTTAAAAGGACATCTCCACATGTGTTCCTAAGCCTATATTTGTACACACATGAGGGACAGAGGCATATAAAAATTATGAGGGCATAATCTATTGTTGCAACAGATATTCTATAATACATCACAACCAGGTTTTATACTCTCAGGGATTCATCTTCCGAGATGGCGGGTGCAGATGGGTGCTCTTAAAAGCCATATTCCTAAATCTGAAAAAGGTTCAACTATCATACATATATGTTTATCATATAGTTAAGGATCAAAAACAGTAGTAAGAGAAGTACCTTAAGGTTTTTTTTTTTTTTTAATTTTATTCTTTAGGAAGACTTGAATGCTTTATTTAACTCCTAATGTTTTGGGAGCCTTAAGAATTATAAGAAAATGTCTGGCAGGTGTGACTCAGTGGTTGAGTGTCGACCCATGTACCAAGAGGTAGCCAGTTCGATTCCTGGTCAGGACTCATGCTCAGGTTGTGGGCCCAATCCCCAGTGGGGGGCATGCAGGAGGCAGCCAATCAATGTTCTCTCTCATCAATGTTTCTCTCTCTCTCCCTCTCACTTCCTCTGTCTTTAAAATCAATAAAGAAAAAAAATTTAAAAAAAATTTTTGAGCATAATTGCCAACAATACATCAGATAAGGGGTTAATTTCCAAAATATATAGAGTGCTCATACAACTCAACAAAAGGAAGATACTCCAATTTAAAAAATAGGTAGAGGACCTAAATAGACACCTCTGCAAAAAAGACATACAAATGGCCAAGAGACATATGAAGAAATGCTCAACATCACTAATCATCAGAGACATGCAAATTAAAACAACTATGAGGTATCACCTCACACCTGTCAGAATGGCCGCCATCAACAAATCATCAAGCAAGTGCTGGCGAGGATGTGGAAAAAAGGGGACTCTAGTACACTGCTGGTGGGAATGCAGACTGGTGCAGCCATTGTGGAAAACAATATGGTGCTACCTCAA